GTGACTCAAGTAGTCAAGTGGCTATACTGTCCTTGGACAGCAGGTGGTCTGCAACCCTTCAGCGATTTGAGTCTCTTCACTAACAAATACTAACACTACCTCTAACCAATTCTTAATGTCAAAAAAAAAAAAAAAAAAATTTAAAGCTACCGAAGAATGTATTAGCATTAAAAGAAAAAGAGTCAGGATCATAGGTCTCACATAAGTGCCACTCCATTTCAAACCTTTGTGTCACCTTTTGCTACTAAAGGTAACATAAATGGGCGATTTAACACTTTAATTATATTATTATTTAATTAGATTTTAAGGGCGCTTCGGGCGGTTCGTTTGTAGCTTTTTAAATTTTTTTTATTAATTATAAATTTTTATAATAACAATTTATAAATATATTTTAGAGTTTTTTTAATAATTAATAATTTTAAATGTATTAATTCATAAAGAAAAGTGTAAATGGTAAAAAAAGAAAAAAGATTTAGGTGTGCAAATCTAATCAATTTAATTTTAAAAATAAAGACAAAATTTTCATAATTTATTACTATATTAATAAATTATGAAAATTTGTCAATTATCTTTATCTATTTTTTCTCTCTATATTATTCAATTGTTTAATATTATTTTTTCTTTTCCTTATCTATTCACATACTATATATATATATATATATATATAATTTTTTACATCAAGACCATATCTCTCGCCTTATCATTATTTGAGGTACATTCAAATTTCTTGTTTGTTTCAACATCATGCTACACTTATGTTATTGTTATGCATTTCAATTCAAACTTAACTTAATACATGCATCTCTCCTCATTTCTTTTTCTTAAATTGGTATTTTTTCACATTATTTTATAAAAAATAATTGATACATACTCAATTCAACACACTTTTTACTTTTTGATACTTGTCTTAATTCAGTTATTAAAATATAATATAAATATAATAGATTTAATCAATTTTTGTATCTTATATGCATAATTGCATATTTAAGTTTGTTTACCTTTAATTTTAGATAAAAAAATAATTTTTAATGAATGTGTTATACAATATGTTAAACAAAAGTATATACTAACCATTATTCTTATTTTATACTTCCATTACCATTTTTTGTGTCCATTTCACCTTTATTCTTTCATATTATCTTTGTATATATATTTCTTATTTTTAATAGTATTATTCTCTTAATATTTTTTCAATTGCTTATACTCCATTTCTTCAAATATTTTTCTTATAAGTCCATCTGTCAACTTCTCACTCATCAATTTATTATTGTCTTAACAAAATTAAACATCAATAAAAAATTTATCAACTTTCCTTATTGTCGTTGATAGGTATAATTCTTATAGATAATTTTATACAAATTAGCTTTGATTTCATTAATATTTGAATGTGTTTAACATGATTTTACTTTATTTTATATTATTTTCATTATTTGTGTGGGATATATAGGATTTAACTTTTAAAAATCATAAATTTAGAACTAAATTGCACTGTTTCATAAAGTCAAAGGATGAATGAGCAGGTGAGATTGAGAACCAAATTGTAGAATTATGAAATCTAGAACTAAAATGAAAAGAATCTAGAAAGTTGAGGATCAATAATGGAGTTTTACCATTAAAAAAAGAGACATGGATATATTTCAAATTCGTCGTGAGGGCTACGGCACCTCCTTCCCCTCCCTC